TGTGGATTTGCTTATTCTGGACATTTCATATAAACGTAATCATGTAACATGCAGCCTTTTGTGTCTGGCTTCTTCTACTTAGCAAAATGTTTTCAAGGTACATCCATGTTTTAACATGTGTGAGTAACTTCATTCCTTTTAATGGCCAAATAATATTCTATTGTATGGATATACCACATCTTATTTATTCATTCATCATTCGATGGACATTTTGGGGGCTATTATAAATAAATTATAAATGCTAGAAACATGTGTGTATAAGATTTCATGTGGTCATATTTTTTGTTCTCTGGGCATATACCTAGGAGTAGAATTGCTGGGTCATATAGTAACCATACATTTAACTTTGAGGAACTGCAAACTGTTACCTAAAGCCACTACACCATTTACATTCCCACCACAGTGTATGAGGATTCCAGTTTCTCCATGTTCTCACCAATATTTGTTATTTTCTGTCTGTATTGTGTAGAGTGGTATCTCCTTGTAGTTTTACTTTGCATTTCCCTAATACTAATGATATTCAGCATCTTTTCATTTGCTTATTGGCCACTTGTATGTTTTTTTGTAGAAAAGTCCATTAAACTCTTTGCCCATTTTTAAATTGGGCTGTCTCTTTTTTTTCTTTTTTTTTTTTTTTAAGTAATCTCTGTACCCAACATGGGGCTTGAACTCATGACCCCAAGATTAAGTGTCACATGCTGTACCAACTGAGCCGGCCATGCGCCCCTGGGTTGTCTCTTTTTGAGTTGCAAAAGTGCTTCGTATATTCCGAATCCAAGTCCTTTATAAGATACTTGATTTGCAAAAATTCTCTCCCATGGGTTATCTTTTTACTTCCTAGATGGTATCCTATGAATCACAGTTTTCCATTTTAATGAAGTCCAATTTATTTTTTCTTTCATTGCTTGTGCTTATGGTGTTATATCTAAGAAAGCATTACCGAATCCAAAGTCACAAAGATTTATCCCAGTGTTTTCTTCTAAGCGTTTCATAGTTTTAGCTCTTATATTTAGACCTATGTTCCATCTTGAGTTAATTTTTACATACAGCATGAAGTAGGGGTCCAACTTCATTATTTCAACATGTTGATATCCAGCTGCCCCAGCACCATTTGTTGAAAAGACTTATTATTTCCCCATTGAATTGTCCTGGCACTCTTGTCAAAAACCAATCCACTGTAAATGTGAAGGCTTATTTTCTGGGCTCTCAGCAGTATTCCACTGATAGACATGTCTGTCCTTATGTCAGTAGCACATTGTTTTGATTATTGTAGCTTTGTCGTAAGTTGTGAAATTGAGAAGTGTGAGTCCTTCAACTTTGTTCTTTTTCAAGATTGTTTTGACTATTCTGAGTTCCTTGCATTTCCATGTAAATTTAAGGATCAGCTTGTCAGTTCCTACAAGAAAAGACAACTGAGATTTTGGTAGGTATTTCAATGAATTTATAGATCTGTTTGAGAAGTATTGCCATCTTAAAAATATTAAGTCTTACAATCCATGAACCTGGCTCAATCTTTCCATTTATTTAGGTCTTAAATTTCTTTCAGTGATGTTTGTGTACAAGTCTTATGCTTCCTTTGTTTAATTTATTCCTAAGTATTTTGTTCTTTGTGATGTTATTGTAAATGGAATTGTTTTCTAAATACCATTTTGGATTGTTCATTGGTAGTATATGGACATGCAATTGATTTTTGTATATTGATCTTACATCCTACAACCTTGGCTGAACACATTTGTTAATTCTGTTAGTGTTTTGTGTGTACTCTTTAGGATTTTCTATATACAAAAGCATGTCATGACTATGGAGAGATAGCTTTACTTTTTTCTTTCCAGTCTGGATGCACTTTGTTTTTCTTGTCTAATTCCCCTGACTAGAACCTCCAATATAATGAGTAGAAATAGCAAGAGCAGATATCCTCTCTTGTTCCTGATCTGAAAAGGAGAACATCTAGTCTTTAACCATTAAGTATGATGTTAGCTGTGGGTTGTATATTGCTTTTATAATAAGAAAAGATTTTTTGAGACTCAAGTTTTTAAAACTTAATTCAGTGTTTTTGGGGGTTTTTTGTAAAGTGGCTACCTTAGCAAAAATAAAATTTACATCATTGCTTCCAGATTATGGTTTAAAAAAACAGGTGGGAGCAGAACATAGTAGGGTGTCTTTTTCCATTCTGTGAGGTGGGGATTAGTGCGGCTTCTTTAAGGGTGGGCTAAGTTTGGATTCAGGATGAGTCTATGTGAGATTTGTCTGGTATTTTTATTCTAGTGGATTTCATTCATTGAGTATCTGTTGGGTCGGCTGTGTGCCAGGGACCATTCTAATCATTGAGGGGGCAGCAAGGAATAAGTCATCCCAGATCTCTGCTCATGTGGTATCTGCAGTTTTGTGGATATGCATGTAGGAATTGTGGGGCCCATGTTTTGGGACAGATTGGATCAGTATTTACTAGAATTTTATATAAATCATGGAGTGGGTTGGCACACTACAAAATGCAGGATACCATCCTTATGTGAGGCTTATAATCACAGTCGTTTCTGTTACTTAGAGGAAGAGCTGGTCAATAACCTATATATACATTGTATGTACATTTTAATGAACTCATCTGCTCTATTTAAGAGTCCTATGCCAGGCACTCTTCAAAAATACTAGTTTAAAAAAAATACTACAGTTTATTTTTTTTTAAAGATTTTTTATTTATTTATTTGAGAGAGAGAATGAGAGAGAGTACATGAGAGAGGGGAAGGTCAGAGGGAGAAGCAGACTCCCCGCTGAGCAGGGAGTCTGATGCAGGACTCAATCCTGGGACTCCAGGATCATGACCTGAGCCGAAGGCAGTCGCTTAACCAACTGAGCCACCCAGGCGCCCAATATACTACAGTTTAGTAGGGAGGATGATATGTAGAGAAGGAAAGCAGAGAGCCAATATTTATTTTGTGCTGTTTGTTTTGCTGTGATACTTTACCCCTCTTAATCCTCAAAATACCCCCTTAAGGTAGGCATCATTACGATGTTTTACCATGAGGGAGCTGATGCTCAGAAAAGTTAAATATATTTTCCAAATGCCACACCAATGACATGTACCCAAATAATCATGATTGAGGTAAGAGGTGCCATAATAAAAGATTTGATGCAGTTTCGTAAGAATTATAAAGAAGTAATAATAACCCCTAGTTGGATTAGGAAAGAAAGCCAACATGAATTTGAGGGACAGAGATGCCAAAGATGCCAAGATATGAGAAATTGCATTCCAGTTTTTTTTAGAGAGTCATGTATATGTGCAATTCTATGTGTCCTGAATATTTTCTTTGTAGCCGTCAGAGGTTTAAAGCATGAGCATCCAGCCTGTGATTGGATAAGATGCCTTGAGGGAGAACTTTGCTTGTCTTGTCTAAGATGTCTGTGGTGTGAATTGCTGTGGGCTGCTGTGAGGAAGCAAGCAGGGTGCTGAGAAGGGCCTTTAAGGGCATGTACTATAACCACAGGCACTGATGGGGACAGACAGTTTCTAAGAATGTGTTTGTGATGTGTCAGGCCATTCAGACTGAGTGCAGTGAAGTCTGAGTTCTCTTCTTGGGAGATTCCAGTGTTGGATGGATGTGTCTTCCCAGTTCCAGGGCTCTTGATCTTGCTCAGAGCACATGGGGGTTTCTCCTTGGAATTCCTCAGAAACTATGAAGGAGTCAGGCAAGAGAACTACAGCAACAGTCCAAAGTGGTATTCATCCAGCTCACTTACCTACCAAATTTGGTTCCAAATGATATTTTCAGAAAGTAAATAGAAGGGTGAAAACTTGCCACCACAAAGGAGATTGCAGGAGAGAAATTCCCCCCTGGTGATTTGAACATCATTACTACCTGCGCCTAGACCAGCAACAATTCAGAAGTGTGGCTTCAGCAAGCATCTCATTTGTAGGGAAAGAAAACATGGGAGCTCTACAGTACTAAACAGACCTGGGTCCCTACATAAGTCCTCCCACTTTCTAGCTTCGTGTGAGACCTTGGGCAAAGTGCTTAGACTGCTTAGCTATTGTAAACGCACCCACTCTTCTCAGCTTGTAAGTACCCAAGGCATCGAGTAGATATGAGGACAGAACAAGACTGTACATGAGAACTGCTTGCACGGTACCCAGAGGAAGAGCTTGATAAAAGGCAGTTATTCTCATTCGTGTTAGCTATCTTCCCTAAGAAGCGTACTATGATGCTTTAGGAGTTTAAAAGCACTTGAGAGTGTGAGTTTTTTCCTGCGTTAGCTAACTAACTCACTCTTTGAATCAGTCACTCTCAACCTGCTTCATCTGTGATCCAATCAGTTTCCTGCTATTCGTTCACCATTAGAGCTCAGAATGGGGTTGAAGGGGAACCAGGATTCCAGCATGCACATAAAGGGAAGCATGGCAACTTTAGTACTGAAGACCCCTGGAAGAGTTAGGGGAATATAATTTCTTCTCATTTTCCTTTGAAATTTCTCCTTTATGATCAGTACAGTGTCTCTTAAAAAAACAAAAAAACCTGCTTTCTTTTCTATTTCTTGTAATCTAGAGACTAGGCCTCTATCCCCTCTTCAACATTCCATCAAGAGTTGGCCACATAAGGACTGCTTCTGTGGGGTTCCTGGCTTAGAGAGCTTTGGTTCAAAGCTATGAAAACCGATTCTTTTTTTTTTTTTTTTAGTAAAGATTTTATTTATTCATTTGAGAGAGAGAGACAGAACACAAGAAGGGGGAGAGGCAGGGAGAGAGGGAGAAGCAGACTCCCCACTGAGCCAGGAGCCTGACGTGGGGCTCCATCCCAGGACCCTGGGATCGTGACCTGAGCCGAAGGCAGATGCTTAACTATCTGAGCCCCCAGGTGCCCCGAAAACCAATTCTTGCTGCTTAGTACTGCCTGCCACTTGCCCCATTGAATAAGTCAGCTTGGATATTCACATTTTTGTGGGAAATAATAAATAAGAATTCTGACATTAATGGTTTTTAAATATTTCTCTCTTTTTTCCCCCTCTAGATTTCTCTTTCCTAAATGTCTTGACCAGTGTTCACAAGGTAAGCAATATGTTTTACTTCCTGCTTTTTTGCATGCCTTTCAAATTCTGTTTAGATGTAACAGACTTTTCTTCATCTCCTTCCTCCCATTCTAAAATCTAAAACAAACAAAATTGGTCCAGGGAAACCTTTGACATCTTTTTCTTTTATCATATTTGATAGGCAGATTTCTTTCTGAGTTTGTCTCTTAAGATGATAAGCTGCCATGACAACAGCTCTCCTGAGCGGGGCTTAAGTCTGCCCTGGCCTTCCAACTAATATCAGTGGACTGAAAAGGTATTAGGTATTCCTAGCCTCTGGATCAACAAGGTCTTGATGCACTTCTCCTGTCCCATGAGTGCACAGTATGGTCCAGTAGGACCTTCTCCCTTAATCCCCTCCTATATACACTGGAATTTTCCACACCTCCTTGGTAGCATTTAGAAAAATCCATCCATCCTGTAGGTTACATTCAACCTTGCATTGTTCTCCCATCTGGCAACCCTGGAAGTAGCACTTTTTAGTCGTATTAACTGTAGTGCCTGGAGACCCAGAATAAATTCTGAATTTCCTGCAGTGATGATAAAATGCTCATTGTTGTCAGAAGACCTGGGGTCTGAGCTTCCTGAGCCAGCCCAGCAAGAAGAAATCAGACAGAAGAAAATAACTTGGTGTCCCCAGCACAGTTTTACCCTGCTGATCCCATTGCCAGTCCGCAGGGAGCGGAAACAACTGAGCATACCAGAGCTATTGTCTTGGGAAACAGCTGAGCTGGGTGCTGCACAGGGCAGGAGCCGGGTCACTGGAGGGAGGAATGTGTGTGTTGGACTGCCGCTCCAGGGAGTCTCAAGTCCAGCTTTTAGAGTCTTTTGTTGCTTTCCAGGCACAGCACCCCAGAAGCAGAGTGGAATAGAGGAGGTTGGGTCCACCCACAGTATCCACTCCACGTAGATGAAGGAGGTTTTATGGAGGTTGGGTCTGTAGAATGTTGTGACAGACTAGATGTGGGGCATGAGTTGGAGAAAGAGGTATTTAGAGCTCTAAGTTCCAAAGTTGGGAGGTTGGGAAGGTTGGTGGTATCTGTCCTTGAGATATAAAGCAAAGGCAAAAACATAGGCCCAGGAGATAACCAAGGATCACTGTCTGGTCCTTGGATATATGTTTGCAAGTCATGGTCAAACCCAAGGGTGTGGGCTATAGTCATCCCCTGTCCACCACATGATTATTGCCACCCTAATGCACCTTGGCTCCTTGGCACTTTCTCCCTCCGTGCCCCTTTTGTTTTTTTGCACACAGCACAGATAGTCAAACTGCCCTAGCCGAGAGCCTTGGGGAGGTGCTCTGTCTTCATTGTCCATGAACCTGAGTTCTCTTCTTGGGAGGAAAGACCTTATAGGCCAAGACAGACTGGATTCTCTCTGGCACTTGGTAGACAGATTTCATTAACACTGCTTCCTTACTCAGTGTTCAAAGGCAACTTGTATCAGATTCTGTGCATGTATAAAGATAGGGATGTGGGCAGATAACCTTGAGGCCATGGGTGATGTTTTTCTAAACTCCAAAGGACTTGTAGAGTGACAGTGTCTTAGTAGTTATCTTCCCCTTGCATCTGGGCCCAAAGGACCCTATGAACTGGTCTGACCTGGCTCACCATGGGCATGGGCTGTCCAGGGAGGGAGGAAATAAAAGGCAAGTATTTCTTTTATCCTCAGAGATTTGGTGACTAGCTTGGCAGTGGGATCTGCCACCAGTAGACAAACACTTCATGTCCCGAGGGAGCATATTGCCTCTCTTTGCTCCTGTTCATGAGTCAGGCTCCCTGATTCATTGCTTTTACAACAAAGGATTGTTTTACAATGAGAAAGGACTATATTGCAGCCCCAAGATGATGTGTGTTACAGAAATCAAGGATTAGGAAATAATCTCAGAGCTTAAACAGCAAACAAGACTCAGTATAATGCTGATTTGAGAGAAGAGCAAAGACATTTTCTACCATGTCCTGCTTTTGGAAGTATCTAAGGGTGGATAAAACAAACTTTGCTTTCTCCTGGGCTTCTGGAGGCCTTTAGCCCAGACTGGGACAGTCAGACCTTAGAGGTGTTTCTCCACTCTGGGGAATGGGCAGGCCAGGCTGTCCACTCACTCACATCCCAGACTGGTAAGACCATGGCCAAATGTGGGTATCCATTCTTTGATACGGAGCAGAAGGAAGCTCCTGGCCCAAGCAAGATGAAACGCCCACAGTGGCCTCTTCATCCTCTGCTCCAGATAACTGCTGTACCTGCCTCACAGATGGCATTTCCTCTTGGCAGGTGGTAGTTTGCATAGCTGGCCTAAGGAATGCTGAGGATAATCCTTTTGCTTGTTCCCCTATAAAGCAAAGCCCCTTTTCTGTGTCCAATTCCTGACCTAGAATCCCAACCCCCCAGGGTGTATCTACATGATACTGGTGAGGCAGACAGGACTCCTGGCAAGGTGTCCATCAGAGATCCAGACCCCAGCCTTTTCCAGAATAGGCCAGGCCTATGCTTGTGATCCTGGTGCACACAACTTAGGTTGCCACATTTACACTAGTCTGATTCTCCAGTTTCTTTTGCCCAAGAAGATACCCCACAGAGTCCTAGGACATTTATAGGTCTTCACTCAGCTTTTGCTGACTCCTCACTGCAAGATCCATCACAGCCATTCTTGTCTCATGGAAATCTCATGGGCCTCTTGCAGGATCCGGCTCCTATGTTTGCCACCTCTGGAATGTGCTGAGCCTTCTAGAACTCTGCTTTGCTTCCCCCACTATGCTACATTCTGGGCCTGGCCTTCTGATCTTGCCTCACTCCATTTCCAGAGGCCCCGGTCAGGCCCTGGTGCAGCCGTAGGACATGGATTTCTGGCATTAGGCTCACCAGCCTCATCCTCAGTGCTTCCCCTGCAGCCTCCAGAGTGACCTTTCTAAATGGGACTGAGTGCACAGACACAACCAGTGTCACCTTCATTAGGAGCCTTCCCTGACACTGTGGCTGAGAATGGTCCATCTTAGTGTTAAAGCTTCTGAACAGAAATTTTTAAATGTTTTAAAATAGAATAAACAAAATGCTGGCATATTCTCCATTTGAATTCTTCAGTCTGTGCCATTACCACAACTAGGTTATACATGGAGACCTTGAGGATAGAGGTTTTGTGTGGGACAAGCTCTTAAGAAAACGTGATTCTGTATCTTCTTGTACACTTGCATACGCATAGACTATCTGAAATAGCATACCCAAGATCTGGTTGTCAGTGGTTGCCTCTGGGAAAGAGAACTAGGACTTGGGGTGCCAGAGGAGGGAGGAAGAAGCTTGGTTTGAATACCCTTTTGTACCTTATGAATTTTTTACCAAAAATGTGTATATATTGGTAAGTCTTAGAAACCTTTCGGATGGCTGTCTGATGAATGGGATTTGCTCAGACTTAGAAGTGGGAAAAATTCTGGCATGTGGGTGCCCACAGCTTAGCTGCTTAGGCAGCTGCACTGGACATCAGGTTGCATGTATCTTTTATGACACTTGATTCATTCATTCACTTATTCAGCAAATCTGTATCTAGAGCCTGCTTCAGCCCAGTCCTGGGCGGTTGGGGAAGGCTTCTGGAAGAGGTGCTATTCAAATTGTCTATAGCCTGAAGGAGGAGTTGGGCCAACAAAGAGGAGGGGAGAGATGGTTCCGGGCAAAAGGACCAGCAAGAGCGAAGGCCTGATGGTGACCAGAGCACATCTGATATGATCAGATTTTCTGTTTTTGAAAGAGTACTCTGACTACAATAGTTAGAATGAATTATAGTAAGAGAAGCCTGGAAGTCCACAGAATAAGCAGTGACCTAGCAAAGAGACTAGCAGCCTGAACCAGACAAATGGTAGCAGGGATTGATAGTAGATGATGGATCCAGGAGCTGTTTAGCACTCACCAGGCCAGGAGGAGGACTCAGGTGTCTCCACAGCCCACATTTGGGGAACTGGGCAGCCTTTCACCAAGTGACAGGAGGAAGCAGAGCTGCACTCACTACTTGGATGTCAAGGGAGGCTGTTGAAACTCACCCTTGAATCCTGAGAGGTCTCTCAAGCACTGTGCAAAGGCCTAAGGTCAGCTTACTAGCTGAGCACTACCAGATACCTGAGAAGAATAGAACCTACATCTCAGAACCAAGGAACTGATAGATCCCCAAACTATTCATAAACACTTAGGAAGGAGGTTCTGTGCTCAGCAGGTGAATTGTAAGTCCTGATGTCTGTGGTCCCAGTCATGTGGCATAACCTTCATATGTATCCTTTCCCCATAGTAACATGTGACCATTGGCATGAAGCTCCTAATCCCTGCTCCCCGGTCATGAATTGAATGCATCCAGACAGTTTGTGAGGTCAGATTCCGTCTTTAGCATTTTTATTTATTTTTTAGTATTTTATTTATCTATTTGACAGAGAGAGAGAGCAAGAGAGGGAACACAAGCAGGGGGAGTGGGAGAGGGAGAAGCAGGCTTCCCGCTGAGCAGGGAGCCCGATTCAGGGCTCGATCCCAGGACCCTGGGATCATGACCTGAGCCGAAGGCAGATGCTTAACGACTGAGCCACCCAGGCGCCCCCAGTCTTTAGCGTTTTTAGAACACTTTTTTCATTAGTATGAGTGTCGAGAGGAAGGAAGTATGGTTTACATCTGCCTCAGACTAGAGGCAGGAGCCAAGGATCCTGGAAGTTGCCTTCCATCTAGCGATGGCCACTCATCTGAACCATGGACTCGGCAGCCTCACTGGTGAGAGTCACATGACCTAGCTTCCTGCTGGTGCCATAGCCACCCTTGTCTGTCTGAGAAATGGATCAGTCCAGGCCCCTCAGTGTCCGTGTAGAGGTCTCATTCTTAGGCTGTTGCTCCCCAGACAATGAGGGTGGTGGGGATGGTGGTGGCCATTATGTTGCATTTAATGAGTTCTTACTATCTGTAGGCCCTGTGATAAGTATTTACTGATAACCTGCAGGTATGTGTTACTGTTCCCATCTAACAGAGGAGGAAATTTGGCTTAGAGAGAAAGTTGAGCAATTTGCCCCGATGTCATTCATTAGTAATTAGTGGAGCCCCACATTCAAACTCATGATCTGCCTGGCTCTAAAACCCATGCTTTAATTTTTACATTATGCTATCTTTTTACGTATATGAAGAAGATAAATAAGACTGAGTCCTGTATTTTAAATACCACCTGTGTTATTCATAGGAGCTTTTATAGCTTAAAGGAGGGGAGAGAGCAAAGTCACATGAAGGATTGAGATGGTAAGGTAATAGGGAAGATTTTAACAAAAAAGTAAGCTTTACCAAAATTAAAAAGTTAAAGAGCTTAAGCAAAAAAAACAAGGTGCAGAACAGTATAATATGCCACTATTTGTGGGGGGAAAAAGGTATACCCACAATTACTTGTGTGTACACAGCACATCCTGGAAGGAGATCTGAGAATCTGATAACGGTGGTTGCCTCCAGGGAAGGAAACTAGACGGCTGAGGAGGAAGGGGGGTTATTTTCCTCATGAATCCTTCTTTGCATTGTTTGAGTTTTGCCCTCAAAAACTAAATACAGCTGATTTTTTTTTAAACTAAACACTCAGCTTAATTAAATAGTATTTGTACAGAGTCCTCTATACTGAATATTCATCATTCAGGATCCCACAATTACAAGGTTACTTAGGACAGCCGAAGTCTCTGTAATTTAGAGATAACCACTTATGAACTAATCATTTATAAAAGCTAGCCTCTCCTATTAAAAAGATTTTAATCTTAGATATAGAGTTAATGATAACACCCATGAGAATTCTATTACAAAATAGAATATAAATGTTGAAAATCTTGAAAACCTATAAATGAAATTCTATTTAACAAAGAATTAGGAGGCAGCAAGAGATACTCTCTCTACATCTTCCAAAGTGGGAGATCAATAAAGTTTAGAGCTGTAAAATCAGGTTATGAAGAGTGAGTCATACTCTTAGTATGTAGTTAGTTGTAAAGACATACACTGGAGGGACTAAAATTACTAATGTAACCAACCAGAATGTGATGGCGAAGTGGGAAGAACACTTCTGAATATTCCAGTTTCCCCATCTGTCACGTAGAAAAGCCAATAGGCATTGTCTAAAAGTGATATTATAAGAAACAGTGATTTAGATCTATCAAAAAGTTATAAGGGGGGCGCCTGGGTGGCTCAGTCAGTTAAATGGCTGACTCTTGATTTTAGCTCAGGTCCTAATCTCAGGGTCATGAGAACAAGCCTGGCTTCAGGCTCTGTGCTCAGCCCGGAGTCTGCTTAAGATTCTCTCTCTCTCTCTGGGTGGCTCAGTCGGTTAAGCAGCCAACTCTAGGTTTCAGCTCAGGTCAGGATCTCAGGGTCCTGGGACTGAGCCACCCACTGGGCTCTGCACTCAGCAAGGAGTCTGCCTCAGGATTCTCTCTCCCTCTGCCCCTCTCCCCACTCTCTTTCTCTTTTGTGTGCGTGTGCACTCTCTCTCTAAAATGAATAAATTTTTTTAAAAAAGATTCTCTTTCCCTCTCCCTCTGCCCCTCCTCCCTGTGCTCACTCACTCACACTCTCTGTCTAAGATAAATAAATCTTTTTTAAAAAATTAGAGAAAGAACAAATTTTTTTAATTTTTTTTAAGACTATTTATTTGACAGAGAGAGAGAGAGGGAGAGGGAGAAACAGGTTCCCTGCCCCCAAGAACAAGAAATTTTTTTAAAAATAGTTTATATTTTAAAAGATTGAGGGGCGCCTGGGTAGCTTAGTCGTTGGGCGTCTGCCTTTGGCTCGGATCGTGGTCCCGGGGTCCTGGGATCGAGCCCCGCGTCAGGCTCCCTGCTCGGCCGGGAGCCTGCTTCTCCCTCTCCCACTCCCCTTGCTTGTGTTCCCTCTCTCGCTGTGTCTCTCTCTGTCAAATGACTAAATAAAATCTTTAAAATAATAAAAAAAAATAAAAGATTGAATCTGTAAAAGAGATCTAGCTGCCAGTATGTTAAAGCAACATTATGGGGTTACAATCAGCAAAATCTAGACGGCAGAAATTTACAGGACACAGCTGTTCAACAAATAAATTACAAAGAAATGAGACACCGCAGATTGAAAGAGAATTATGAGATGTATCAATGAAATATAGTGTGTGGACTTTGGTTCCTGGTTCAAAAAAATCACCTCTAAGAAAATATTCATTGTTAATTATTAATTTTTTAAATATACTGAAATATTTTTGGATGAAAGAATAGGATGTCTGGGATTGACTTCAAAATCATCCCGGGGAAAGGGGCAAGGGCTGGCATGTGATATGGAAGAAATGCAGTTAGCCAAGTGTTGTTAATTCTTGAAGGGTGACGGGCACATGGGAGTTCATTGTACCACTTTCAAAATTTTTGGATATGTTTGAAATTTTCACAGTATTAATAAGTGAATAAAAATGGTTGAATAACAAAAATGCAAGTGATCTTATAGTGGAAATGGTGTATATGCTCTGATCATAACTATGTCAAAACAGGAATGAGTATGGAATTATAATTATGTTGGCATGGTAGGATATGATAACTTCCCTGATTTCCAAATTCTCTGTAGCATAGATTTTCCTTCTATGTATCCATGAAAGCTTGGGAGGGATTTTTACCCACTCCACAACCCCTCATTGCCGGCACCACTCTTCCTTACTGTATGACTGTGTGAATATCTGTGTTAGCACTTATCTTAGAATTGTAGGTCCGTGTGAGCAACTCCTTGCCTGTGCACTCTTTGAGAATCTAATGGTGAGTGCCTGACGTATGGTTTGTGCTTGGTAAATGTCTGTGGTCTAAACTGGTGATGGAGTCTGGCACGGGTTCCGGAAGAGGTTAAGGACAAGGGATGTGGGAAGGGCCCTTTGATGAAGAAGCTCCAGGAGAGTTTCCAGCTGGAGAGCAGAATTGAGAAAGTAGAGGAGGGTAAGAAGCGAGGCAGCTACAGGCTTGAGGCCATTCACTCCAAGAAGTGGCAGTGACAGACAGGGGAGCAGGTGTTGGGGGTCAGGGGTGTCGGCATAAGAGGGCTACTGGAAGGGATGATCAGGAAGGGAGCAAAGGCTCACATTGTGTGAGCCCTCAGCCCCAATCAGACCTCCGAAGCCTGAACTGTTCTTGGTTTTATTCCCCAGGCCTGGTGAGTAATGTGGTGTTCACCAGTCACACCACGGAGCAGAGGCACCCTCTCCTTGTCCAGCTGCAGAGCCTCATCAGGGCTGCCAGTCCTACTGCAGCCTTCATTCTTGCAGAAAATGGGATTGTCACCAGGTAAACTTACCATGATTACTTCACCCTGTAGGACTAGCCACTTTCTCAGATGCAGCAAGCACTCTGACTATGGCCCACAGTGTCTTTCTCTTGCATCTAGGACCTGCACATTTATAGAAGTGCTTTTGATGTTATGTAAAAATCAGCAAGAGGACCCCATGTGTCAGTATCCTATACTGTTTTGAGATATTTTGTTGTTTTTTTTTTAAGATTTTTAAAAAGATTTTATTTATTGAGAGAGAGAGAGAGCACAAGCAGGGGAGGAGGCAAAGGGAGAGGGAGAGAGAGAATCCCAGGCTGACTCCATGCTGAGCACACAGTCCAACACAGGGCTTGATCTCATGACCCCGAGACCATGACCTGAGCTGAAATCAAGAGTTGGAGGTTTGGGGCGCCTGGGTGGCTCAGTTGGTTAGGCGACTGCCTTCGGCTCAGGTCATGATCCTGGAGTCCCAGGATCGAGTCCCGCATCAGGCTCCCTGCTCGGCAGGGAGCCTGCTTCTCCCTCTAACCGTCCCCCCTCTCGTGTACTCTCTCTCTCTCTCATTCTCGCTCTCTCAAATAAATAAATAAATCTTAAAAAAAAAAAGAGTTGGAGGTTTAACCGACTGAGCCACCCAGGTGCCCCAAGATTTTATTTTTAAGTATTCTCTGCACCCAACGTGGGGCTCAAACTTTACAACCCCGAGATCAAGAGTTGCGTGCTCTATTTGTTTTGGTGCATCACATTTTTGTGCATTAAAGGATGAAGTCGAGACTCTCTCAATATTCCTTGTGTTAAGATGTGAAAGAAATGGCATAGAGAACATAGAGAAATGACCTTTTTACTTCATGGACTTGGGTCCAAATTACAAACTAAAAATAGAGAATTGATGACTTTGTGTGCGTGGATGTGTCTGAAGAGAAAACATCTGGTCATACAGCACATTTATTTGCTCCACAAAGATATACCAAAAGGTATATACTTTTTATATAATTTTGACTTTGAGCAATGTAAATACTTTACATATTCAGAAATTAATAAAGAGGGATAAAACTAAAACAAAAAAGTGAATCCATCTCTATATCAAAGTTATAACAACCACATACACAGCAATTAATTCAGGTAACTTTTAAACATAATCCTCCGTTGGAACCCTGATTCAACAACATCACTTGTTAGATAAGAAAGATTATAGGGGCGCCTGGGTGGCTCAGTTGTTGGGCATCTGCCTTTGGCTCGGGTCATGATCCCAGGATCCTGGGATCGAGCCCTGCGTCGGGCTCCCTGCTCAGCAGGAAGCCTGCTTCTCCCTCTCCCACTCCTCCTGCTTGTGTTCCCTCTCTCACTGTGTCTTTCTCTGTCAAATAAATAAATAAAATCTTTAAAAAAAAAAGATTATAAATGTGAAGTGGGAAAGGTGAAGAAAAACCCTGTGAATGGTGGATTTGAATTGTGGGAGTCAATATAAATTCATTATTTCAAAAAAGTGTATATTTCCTAGCTCTTCCCATTGAAAGGGACCAGAAATACTAATACCACAGTAGAATAAACACCCCTTCCTCTAGATCCTGGTTTCTACATACCAGTCCCCAATACAAGGTATCAGGACTTCTTGGAGAATTGACTGATTGCAGGTCTAGGGTAGGGAAAGGACAGGTGAGCCTTGTACATTTTGTGCTAAAAAAGCAAGGAGGTATCAAAGATTAGTAGAGATATGTCAAAGGGATACCAGAGCTAGCTCAAGAAGCTCCCACTAGACAAATTTGGGACATCTTGAGCATAAGAGAAAACAAATGTAATAACGAATTATAGCACGTGGAATAAAATGAGTCCATGGTGATACTAAAAAAATGAGGAGAGGCAGGACAGTAAATTTCTCCTAACACTAATAAATAAGAATTTATAGAACCAGAAAGTCACTATTTTGTAACTGTTAGTATAATACTTGATTTAGGCAAGAATCATCAGTGGATACTAAGAGCAGTGGGTGACAGATTGTTGATGAAAAGGTCATTAACATCACTCCATGGACTACTTACTGCTTACGATGAGGGGAAAGTACCTTCACAGTAGAGAGATCTAGTAGACATGACGTTGACCAAATGATTAGACTTAGAGACCACTATGTGGGCAGACTGACATCGTGTGCCTCCTTCATGTGATGCTCTGGGAAGGACATAACCTCACCTGGGTATTAATCTTACCAAAAATGTTTAACCAAATGTAATCATAAGGAAATAGATCCAGATTGTAGGACACACGACAACTGGCATGTACTCTTCACAACTGTCAACTCTGTAAGAAACAAAAAAAAGTTGGAAGAATTATTCCACATTAAAGGAAAATAAAGATTGTAAATTCAGTAAGCAGTCCTTGATTGGAGCCTGGGTCCCCTCTCCGGCAAAACAGGGAAAATTTGAAAATGGATTAGATCGGTACTTCTCCAACTCTAATGTGCATATAGATCTCTTAGGGATCTTCTTAAAATAAGAGGTCTGATTTGGCAGGTCTAGAGTGGGGCCTGGCATTTTGTGTTTCTTTTTTTTTTTTTTTAAGATTTTATTTATTTATTTGAGAGAGAGAGAATGAGAGATAGAGAGCACGAGAGGGAAGAGGGTCAGAGGGAGAAGCAGACTCCCTGCCGAGCAGGGAGCCCGATGCGGGACTCGATCCCAGGACTCCAGGATCATGACCTGAGCCGAAGGCAGTCGCTTAACCAACTGAACCACCCAGGTGCCCGGCATTTTGTGTTTCTGATGATGAGCTTCTAGATGATACCAGTACTGCTGGTCCACAGTATTAAATTCCTTGGGTATAATAATAGTATTGTTGTTGTGAAAGAGAATGTCCTTGTTCTTCGGAGAGGGAGGCATACTGAAGGATTTGGGGGTGTGCAGTAACAGAAAAAATGTCCTTGTACATGCTTGTGCATCTGTGGAGGGGGGGAAGCAAAATGGGCCGCTTAAAATTGATTGTCCTAATTAACCTAGGTTTTTCTGTATGTTTTCAAAGGAATGAAGACATTGAGCTGATTCTCTCAGAAAATAGTTTTTCAAGTCCTCAGATGCTACGATCTCGATATTTAATGTACCCTGGCTGGCAAGTATCATCATTGAAAAGTAGCTAAGATTTCTTTGTAAACGCAATGATTTTTTCATTTACAAAAAAAAGAAAGAAAGAAAGTGAAATTTCACGTGTTCTACAAGGGTAGCACTGGCAGCTGGGACGGCCTGCCGTACCCTAACAGCTGCTGGTCTTGCCAGGAGCCCAGTGCTCCACACATCTTGGGCACCAACTCGGGAGCCTTGCTAGATGTTGAGACTTAGGGAGTGGCCCTCTGGGCACCAAGCACCCCGTGGCCTTTTTCCTCTAGGCTCTAGTGAGGGTGAGGTGGCTGGCGTGGAACCAGATGAGAGTCGCTCCTGAGAATATAGTCAGTCCTCTAGGGGGTCCCACCTGACAAGTAGCTTCCCTGCTGTTGTGGCCCTGGGGGATGTTTATTCTCTTGGCATGTGAACCTCTCCTCCAGAAGGGAGCGGGGGAGAGAGTACCAAGGGCGCCGTAGTCATGCTAGTGCCAACATCACTTGAGCACTCACTGTGTGCTACACCTTGTTCTGAGCTCTCCGGGACAGTAGCCACTGGCCACAGTTGGCTATTTAATAAAGTGTAAATTAATAAAAATTAAGTAAAATCAGTCAGTCATACAAGCCACACTTCCGAGTGCTCAGTAGTTACCTGTGGCCAGCAGTTAGCACTTGGGCAGCGCAGATCCAGAACATTTCTATCCTCACAGAAAGTTCTGTTGGACAGAGCCACCCTACGAGCTCTACCTGTGTTACCTCATTAATCCTCAAACCAAGCCTGTGAGGTAGGCTCCTTGATTTTCCTCCTTTTTAAGGATAAGGTAAGTGAGGCGGCGAGGAGTTAAATGGCGTGTTCAGGTTCATACAGCCAGTAAGTGAAAGAGCTGCGTTTCAAACCCAGCTTATGTGGCCCCAGAGCCCGTATGCTCAACCGCCATGCTGCACTCGTTCCTCCACAGAATGGGTAGCTGAGTTCTGCTCTCTTGAAGGTTCAAGGGAAGACAGTTACTAAAGCTTGGCCAAAAGTATTCTCTCGTATTGATTTGGATTATCTTTGTTATCCTTGCTCACTTCCCCCAGACACCTTTCTGTGTCCTCCACACCACCCCTTACGTCACCAGTATTTTATACCAGCAAAAAACTGATTGCACTATGCTGACACAACAAACAAGTCCAATGTGTGGAATTGAAGATTTTCAGGCATATTCTAGAAGGAACCTCTGATTTGAGTTACATCATACTTGCTTAAACAGTGGGTAAGGGCATCATGCCTTATGCCTGAACAAGACAGTTCTATCTTAGGTAAAAGGAAACAGATGGAGCTTCTGGGTGAAACCTTCCTCTCCACTGACTACAGCTGACCCTTTTCCTGCCTCACCTCTGGGCCTGGGCCTGAGATTCCTGCTGCTTCCACCTAATGCCTAGGGAAGCATCCATTCTGTAGTCCATGGTGACTCATTCTGGGCATTGTGCACATGAACCTAGCTCAGGGCACAAACTTTCCTGGAGGCAGAATGATCCAAGAGCCAGGTATAAAGGGTACATTAGAAGGATCCATGAATCTAAAGTCTGAAGCTTTCTCTTTACCAGGAAGATCAGTCCTTACAGAGAATCAGAGATGGAGGGGCCTCAACATCATCCTTTGGGCCCTCCCCCTTCTGAGTCCCTTCCTAAGAATCAGATAATTTAATCTTTTAACAAGATGGCAGCCATCAGCCATCCCTGTATATTTTTCCCTCTCCCTCCCTGAGTCAGAGCCCACCACCTCAGTGAACAGGCTTTAGCTCTGTGCTTAGCTCTGTGCTGTGCAGGTTGTCAGCCATTCCCCTCCCACAACCCTCTCTCTGCTCATCTACCCCACCCCCAACTCCCCTGGTAGAAGGCTTGTTTCTAGCCTAGCAGGAAACCTTCACTCTTCCCTTGGCCCCTCCCAGTTTCCCTAAGGATTCAGGCTCTGAACAAAGAAGCCAGAGAGGCCGATGGTCTCCCATATCTTGGGAGAGGGCAAGAAGAACATGTCAGTACTGCAGAAATGTTATACCAGCACCTTACTTTAAAGAAAGCATAAAGAGTAAGATACTTTCAATAATACATATGATATAAAATTCAAATCTGTAGAGCTATTTTAAAGCAAAGGAAACTAATAAAATATAATAGACTGGAAGAAAATGTTTGCATCAGATTTGGCAAAGGGTTAATATAATATTTGAGAAGCTTATTTTGATACTGAAGAAAAGTAACCCAGTCCATATAGATGTGGACAGTTCACTTTTTTTTTTTTTTTAAGATTTTACTTATTTTAGAGAGAGCAAGTACGTGAGCAGGAGGGAGGGGCAGAGAGAGAGGGAGAGGGAATCTCAAGCCGACTCCATGCTGAGCACAGAGCCTGAGCGGGGCTCGAACCCACAACCCTGAGATCATGACCTGAGCTGAAACCATGAGTCGGATGCCTAACCGACAGAGCCACCCAGTTGCCCCTGCACAGTTCACTTTAGAGCAAGTATAAATGGCAGCCAGGTAACAGAATTCCATTTTAGTAACTCAAAAACGTAAAATGATACCTTGCTGTTATTTTGATTGAAACCTATTACACTTAACTGAGAACTCAAATATTACACAATGGAAATATCTGTAAGAATCATTGCTGGGGGAATTGTGCAACTGAAACACTCTTCTGCTACTGGGAGTGGTGTAAGTTATTACCCATGAGATGGTTACACCCTTTCCTGGATTGATACCATCATGCAGATTCATCTCAGGGAAATAATTCAAAAGAAGGAATGACAATTCCATAACTTTGGAAGCTGGGTGATGGGGGTTCATTGCACTATCTCACTATCTTTGCATGTGTTTTCAATTTTCCATAATAAAAACTTGAACTTTTTAAATGCTCTGAATATGGCATGTCCTTTTTAAAAATTTTTTTTTATTTTTGGGGCACCTGGGTGGTTCATTCGTTAAGTGTCTGCCTTCGGCTCAGGTCATGATCCCAGGGTTCTGGGATCGAGCCCCACATCGGGCTCCCTGCTCAGCGGGAAGCTTGCTTCTCCTTCTCCCGCTGCTTGTGTTCCCTCTCTCGCTGTGTCTCTGTCAAATAAATAAATAAAATCTTAAAAAAAATTTTTTTATTTTTAAGCAATCTCTACACCCAACGTGGGGCTTGAGCTCACAACCCCAAGATTAAGAATTGCATGCTCTACCAACTGAGCCAGGTGCCCCTGAACATGGCATCTTCTTAATGAGTCTATGGTTGGCATTATGTCTGCTGAATTCAAAACTGAGAAAATAGAGCAGAGATGCCCCAGCTCTTTAGTTCCTTCTGGAAAGTGTGCACATCCAAATCTACAGTCTGTGAAGCTGCCCTCAACAGTGGTGGGGTATAGTTGAGGCCCTGAGGAAGAGCTCCAGGGGTGTCAGGAAGAACCCCCAATCTCAGGTGGCACACTGGTAGGCTTCAAAGATAGATGGGGGGTCTTTGGCTTCAAGGAACTGCTAGTCTGCAGACCTCCCTGCTCTAATGGGGCAACCATGCTTCCCAGTCTCAAGATGAAAGAAACACATACATATTTAAAACAAGTGTTTTGTACGCAAAGTGTCACGTAAGAGAGAACTCAAATATCACACAATGGATATGTAATTCATCCCTGAGTAGTATATAATAACACTCAAAGCCCCAATTACTTGTACTTAAAACTTTTTAAACTTTTTTAAGGTATGAAGGTAAATTTGATGCTGGATCAGTCTTTCCACTAATGGTTCAGATCTGCGTATGGTTTGGTCGTCCCTTGGAGAAGACTCGCTTCGTGGCCAAGTGTAAAGGTAAGCCTTGGTTGGGACATGTCCCAGACCCTGATAAAAGAGTATGCCAGAGTTGTCCCTGCTTCCTGGCACCATTTTAGTATTAATGTGTGCTGTCTTTTCTCCTTTCCATTGGGTCCAAAAACAGGCAGAGGGATTTGAGGACCCAGGAGTGCCCCACTCTTGGGAACAGTGGCAGAGCCACTGGGGAGGTTCTGGTGGAGGGACAGCCTGTGAGCCCTGGTCCCTCGAGTAGGGATCCTTCCCAGTCCCTAACCCTCCCAGCTGTGTGCCCTGAATTGGCCTCTGCCCCCAGGTAGCTGACAGCCTTGTCCTCTTCCTCCACCAGCAATTCAGTCTTCCATCAAGCCAAGTCCCTTCTCTGGAAACATCTACCACATCCTCGGCAAAGTGAAGTTTTCAGGTAACTGGGGAGTTGGATTTGGGAGTCCTGTACTATGGAATGCTCACATCTCATGATGTGGGATCATAGCTTCTACTGGTGCTCTACAGACCACAGATAGCTCTCAGACTCTCTCAAAAACCCTCCCGTCTGGGCTTGACACCAGTGGTTCTTCTAGTCTCCCCGCCTTTCTGCAGGTCCTGCTCCACAGTGGAGGATGTTTCCTATCTTCCCCCTGAATGGCATGCCCAAGGCCTTTCCTTACAGCTCCTTGATTTCCTTGTTCCAGAGACTCTCACTCCACCCCTTTCAAGGCATGCATGACCTCCTAGACCTGTCACCAGGAGCTGCCCCAGTGATGAGCTCTCCAGGTGCAGATCCATTTCTGCCGAAGTCTTCAAGCCTTCCACTTGCCTTCTCCCTATTTATTAGCCTTAGACCTCTGGAAACCCTAATGACCTGAAGTCTGTCCATCCTGGGCTGGAGGTCAAGGAAGGCCTCAAGACAAGGAGTTAGTCAACTCAACATTGAGAAAGGGGAGAATATTCCAGAGAAAAGGTACAGCATGTGCTTTGGAACCAAGGCAAAAAAGGCACTTTGCAGGAACCAAAAAGGGTTCACTGTGGCTGAGGCCTAGCGGGAATATGTCTGTTAAGGCATTTTTAGCTGTTGTAGCAGAAAACACCAACTCAACTAGCAGGTGTTAGCTGTGTAATAAGTCAAGAGGTCAGGCAACATAGCAGGGCCACTGAGGACACAGGTAGTGTGTGTTCCTTCATTCATGGTATGTCAGCTTGTCCTCAGGTTCCCACCCCTCATTGCCAGGTAGTGCTACAGGTCTAGGTGTCACCTCCAAACACAACATCCAGCTGATAGGAGAGGGTCTTTCTATGGGTGGCTTTATCAATACAGATGCCTTTTACTGAAGCACTTCCTACCACTTCCCGAGCAGACTTCTCCTCTCATTGCCCAGGATTGAGTTGCCATGCCTTCTGGAGAATTGGTATTGGAGAAAGAGCAGGATGCTGGGCAGGCAACCATCAGTGTCTGCCATAGGGAGCCACTGAGAGTTGTAAGCATGGGACCATATGGGTTCAGATGGGAGAATTAGTTGACATCACCTATATAAAAGAAGCTCTCAAGGTCCTTAACCCATGCCTTTGGCCTAATTTATGTTACTGAATCTGAAACTTTGGCCCCTCACTCAAACCTGCTTCCCTCAGGCTCCTCCTTGCTTCAGAGGTCATAATGTCTCCCCCTTCCCTCTCACCTTGTTTTTGTCTTAATTTAGAACTTCTCTTGACCCCCCTTTTTTTTGAAAAGATTTTATTTATTCATTTGAGAGAGAGAATGAAAGAGAGCACATGAGAGGGGGAGGGCCAGAGGGAGAAGCAGACTCCCCGCTGAGCAGGGGGCCCGATCGAGTCCTGGGACTCGATCCTGGGACTCCAGGATCACAACCTGAACCGAAGGCAGTCGCCCAACCAACTGAGCCACCCAGGCGCCCTCTTGACCCCTTTCTTATTCAAAGTTAACCTCTCTTTGTTTTGGAACCCTTTTTCATCCTGCTTTTTAGGGGGACCTTGCCTTTTCCTTGTGTCTCCTGTGCTAGCCCCCGGCTTCCCAGTCTATAAACCCAGTCCTAGCTTTCCTGTGCCTATTATGTGACCCTCCTGCACCACTTGTATGTTGACAGCCCCTCCTCCCTTGGCCTCTCCGCCCTCTGCTAGGGGCTCTCCTCTTGTAGCCCCCTTCTGGCTTAGTGACATCCACCTGGTTACCAAATCAGCCAAGCCAGAGATTTACATTGCTCCTCCCTCTCTTACGTCATCCTTTCTAACTTGACACCAATCATGGCAGTTCTCCCTCCTGCATGTCACAGGAATCTGTCCCCAACTATCTGCACGTTACAGTCTTAGTGTAGCTTTATCCTTTTGGGGCTCAGGGGCTACGTGTGTTCTCCCTGCAGACTCTGAGAAGGCCATGGAGGTCTGCCATAACACTCTGGCCAATTCTTTGAGCATTGTCCCTGTTTTGGAGGGACCCTCGCCACCGCCTGACTCCCGAAGCACACCTCAAGAAAGCAACGGGCAGCAGGAATGTTACCTCGTGTTCATCGGCTGCTCCCTGAAGGAAGAAAGCGTCAAGGACTGGCTGCGGCAGTCAGCTAAGCAGGTGGTTTCCAAAGCCCAGACACCTCTGGCACAAATGTGACCAGCACACCTCATAGCTGCTCCTGGCCTTGGGGTAGAAGCCCCTCCCATGACCTCCCTCCTCGTCCACCCTTCACAGGCTCAGCCAGCACTTTCAGGGATGGTTTGCAAGTAGGAGGAAGCCACTTGGGATAACCTCAAGGCAGACCTGTTCTTACAGCCATTTCTAATTCTTTTGCCAAGGCAAATTGCAGTTATTAGGTGGCTTAACTAGGACCTGGGTGAAACCTAGGGTTCCATGTGGATCCTGGGTCAGCCTGGCAGTCTAAACTCAAAATGTCTTTTCTTAGCTGAACCTAATTCGGGGCTGTCCTGTGTTCTGAGCCCAGAATCCTTCTATACTTGGGCTCTGTCTCTAGAAATGAGAAACAACAAAAATATGCTTACAGCTGTTTGCAAACCAAGACTTGAAGCATTGATACCAGTGAGCCCAGGGAGTCTCAAGGGAAGAGGATGCTTGCCTATAGAGGCACATAAGCATCTTTAGCCCAGTACTGCAAAGAAAAACAAAACCTAGACTGGAGTTAAAATCCTCTAATATGATGCAGGTCGGGTGCTAGGCCTCTTAGCACAGCCTCAGGGGTTGAGGTTGACTTAGAACTCTGGAAATAGAGTTGCTGGGCCCTGGGTCCTTTGTAGATGCTTAGTTGGAACCTGTCTTTTATACTGAGGGATGGCTGCCTGTAGGCTGTTTTTCTCAGATAAACTGGATAAACTCCTAAGTGGTTGAGTAGGGGACTTCATGTTGTCCCTTTGTCTGCATACCTGGCACTGGTAGGGCTTAGAGTCGAGGATCTTCAGAGACAGGAACATGCTATTTGCAGAAGCACTGGTGTTTCCTCTGCTGCTTGTTTCCCCTGGCACACAGGGTTCTGTGGTGGTAAGTGGTCTCCTTGAGGGGCAGGCAGGCAGGATATTGTGTCCAGGCCACGACAGTACTGTGCTTTCTTTCCCCACCGCTGGGATCTTAAGTCATGTAACTGGCCCTCAGAGCCCTGAGCCCTCACCTGCCCATGTACTCCATCAGCTCCGTTGGGACCTGACCCCTCCCTCCCTACATCTCTGCACAGAAGCCTCAGAGGAAAGCCCTGAAGACCAGGGGAATGCTGACTCAGCAGGAGATCAGGAATATCCACGTGAGTCCCCTAAGAGCCCCAAGGCTATCCGTCTGGGCTGGCACAGCTCCATCCTTTAGGATTCCCTGAGTGAGGGGCCTATTTATAGGGCATGCTGGAGGTCTTGCTCCTCTTAAGCCACAGAGGGAAGCTGGGTAAAGAGGAACCTCAGACCCTCCAACCTTGTAGCCTGAGAGGAAGAGGGTATAGGGACATCTGGTGTGACCTGGGCATGAGATGAGAAGCCGTGCCTGTGGGAGGAAGGGGTGACATGGAGCCCTGTTTTGACACACTGTTGAAGCAGCCACAGAAGTCCTTTCTCCTCTCATCCCTCCATGCTAGATATAAACCACAGATAAAGCAACAGAGCCCAAGAAAAGCTGTCTAGATCCAGAAGCTGCCAATAAGCAGGGGATAGAATTCTGGGACCACCATGAGAGGCTCTTTGATGAGCCCCTCAGCCTTCAGGCTGACTCTCAGCCTCTGTTCCAGTCCCGACCCCCACTGGGACCTTTTCCTGGGGGCTTGGGGGCAAAGGCTACAAGGGACACGGAGTCCAGGCCCCAGCACAGGCTGTGCCACTTCTCCCAGTAATGAATGGGTGGGAGAGGCTCTGGGACCCTAGGAGTCCCTGCTTTGGACTTGAGGAGGTCCCTTCATATCCAGCTTCTGTCCTGGGCAACCCTGGGTGCTCCTGGGGAGGAGACTGTGGGTACCTCAGAAGGCAGTCCTTGTAGTGTATGTTCCCCAGAAGCAGACCTTAAACATGGATTTGAGTACACGTAGCTTATTTTGCAAGTGATTCTAGGAGACACTAGCAGGGAAGTGGGAAAAGTAAGGGAGAGAAAGAAGGGGAGACAGCTAACAAAGGGTATGTTATCAAACCAGTACCACTGAGGATGAGTGGAGCTTAATCCCATGAGAAGCTCCCAGAGTTCCTCCCTGAGAGCTTAGGGACCTCCATCAGTCACTACTTGAGAACTGCTGCAGGGAGGACATTCCCTCGCATGTCTAGCCTTCCGTGGGGCAGAGTGGGCTGTCTTGCTAAGGTCATAGGCTTGTTTGTTTTTAATGAATGAGTAGATGATAGAACGTGGTCAGATAATTTTAATAGGACTCTTTTTTCCTACAGGTGAAACGCCACCTGGACCCCCTGCCCGCAGGCTACTTTTACAATGGCACCCAGTTTGTCAACTTCTTTGGTGACAAGACTGATTTTCACCCACGTATCCTTGGAATCTGTGGTGGCCAGGTTGGGCGTGTGTGGAAGCCTGATCGTAAAGAGGGTGTCTGCTAGAGCCACTGCAGCCCACCTCCTAGAGAGGGCTGGGTTCTGAGAGCATGCAGCAAGCCACAGAGGCAGACTTTTCATTTGGGCCTTCTGACGTCATTAAAATTAATTTCGCCTTCGTTCGCTGAAGCGTCTGTAGGTTGTAGTTTAAATGTAGCTGTGGTGACATCCTGCGTTCTGTGGTCATCAGGGATCATAATTTACAAGTTGGAGACTAGACGTGATTGCCAAAGGGCTCAGCTCTAGGACCTCATGGAGGAACCTTTGCCAACCCTGGCTTACTCTCTGTAGCTGGGGTGCGGCCAGTATAGAAAAAGAGCCTGGCAGGTAGGCTTTGTGTGGGCTGGGCATTCACTACTTAAGTGTCCCCCACCTCAGCTGCCCACAGATCCCTCTGGGCCTGGGCAGCCTCCCTTGTCCTCCTGGCTCAGGACTCTCTTCCTTAATGAGATACCAGTCATGGACCAGTTCATGAATGACTACGTGGAAGAAGCCAACCGGGAAATTGAGAAGTATAACCGAGAGCTGGAACAGCAGGAGTATCATGACCTCTTTGAGCAGAAGCCCTAGGGGAAGGCTAGGCCATACATCCTGGAGAACGTCCACCCTGGAGGTGGACGTTTAAAAATGGGGTTACTTAACCTCAGCTCTCCCAGAGGCCCTCCCTAAAGGGGCTGTCTTTCTTCTTCTTGGCCTTTGTGTACTGGCTTGAGTGCATGTTGTCTTTATTCTCTATACAGCGCTGAAGAGCATCACCTGCACCGCCCCACTGATGGGGGGCGGGGGGTCTTCATGGAGGATGAGCAGATAGGGACTGCCCTGTGTGTGGGGCTGGCAGCCCGGAACCTCTGGGTATCTCCTTTGGGCTGCTGAGGCACTGTGACTGTGGGGAGAATCATTTGTTACCCAGAGTTGCTGTTGGCAAGCAGAAGGAACCCTGGCTGCCTGAACTGTGCCCATGCCTGGGGGACCAAGCCACCACAGGCGTTGGGCCTCAGACACTGTCCCAGGAGAGCCCTGTCCCCAGTGGAGTGCCTGGCTTCCTGCTTAGGCCCCTTGCATTGAAGGAGCGGGCCCTGCTGGCCCTGGGCCCGGTCCTGGGGGGACCACCCCAGGCCCTGCCTGAGCCCCACCCACAGAGCCAGCAGCTTGGGCTGAGATCAACAGCTTGTTTTCAGATGAGGAGCTGTCCCTTACAGACTAAACTGAGGGGAAAGGCATGTTGCTTTCCAGAAGCATGTGGCTTTTGAATTGATACAAGCAGTCTCCCTGGAGGATGGTTTTGAGCTCCCCTCACTCTGGTTTGCCTCATTCAGGGCAAGAACAAAGCAAACCTGCTGCTTCGGCCTCCCTGGTGATGCTTTGCCTCACTTTTGAGGGGAGCATCCTCCAACCACTTAGTCTTAGGCCCAGGGCTCTGATCACTTGTGCGGCATCCCTGAAGGGGGCTCACTCTCCAGCACCCAGCCCTCCCTTGAGCCTTACCAGGGAAGGCTTGGTTTGTAGCCACAAACTTCAGGAAACTTATGTCCCCAAGCATTGTTGCTGGCCCTGGACTTGTTAGGCTCCTGTAGACCGGGAATTTCAAAGAATTCCAATATCCAATTTAGAATTCCTTCCAGGGGCTTTGTTTGCAGCTAGACCATAAAGCAGAGGGGAATTAGAAATGGATCCGGTGCCTGACTTCCAGAATTAGTTTGGGGTCGGGGGAGGTCACAGGCACTGATATTTGGGTGATGTCTGTTAGGACTTCAGCGCCTCAGCTGCCTAGATTGTAAATGCTTTCTGAATTTCACATATTTTTTTTTGCATGCCTTAGGAAGAAGCACATAGACGAAACCAGCAAAGTTTCCAGTAATGTAGAGGGGTTTTTGAGAATAGCCCCTGGCACAGAGGAGAGACTGAGAAAGGATGGAGCACATATGATCTGTGTGCCTGGTTACTCAGAGGCCTCCATGCAAGTAGCAAAGCAGGTGTTAAGGGCTTGTCAGTAAAATGTACTTGTATTAGAAAAAAATAATCTATATTTAAAGCCAAATGAACAAAACTCAAAATACCACTAAATAAGAAATCTTGCATGAAGAAAGCCTTCTGAAAAGGCCCATGTGTTCCATTCCCAACTCCCAAAGCTGGTGGTGACAAGGGCCCTAGTGTGGAGCCCAAGTCTGGGAGCACCTCACTTCTGGTGGGCCGGAGGCTGGGGTCCACAATGGGCCTGCCTCTGCTTCAGAATCAATAACGTAGATCTTAAGTGCAATTGATGAACTAAGCAATGAGTTACTGTAGCTTCTTTTAGCTCTACTGAGCTCTTTTTAAAAACTCAACCTTGAGCAGCCTTAGAGAAGGGAGAAGTGGGGTGGGTGGGTGGGGTAGGGGAACCATAGGCCATTTACTCCAGGTGGGTTGCTGTGAACTTTTAAATGAAAGCTCTAGATTGAGGAGCTCGAGCCATTTCCTGATGGCTGCACAAAAGAGTTTTTAAAAAGGGTTCAGAGCCCGCGCATAGAAGCGGGTCTTCCCACTGCGTGGGGCTGCACTACGTGGTGGTCTTGGTTTCTGACCGTTGTCCGCAGAAATGCTCTCTCACCAACTTGCCCCACTACCCCAATTCCTCTGCTGTTAGAGGGAAAACTGTGATTACCTCAACTTGAATATGAAACTGTGATTGAAAAAAGTCAAAACGTTAAGAAGTTCCAAAGCCAAAAAGGCAGAACTGGCTGAGGCCTCCATTGACACTCCTCAGCCTGCTCGGGAGTGCGAAGGGGCACACTGGCGAAAGGGCATTCCTTGGGGCGCACTTGCTGTGCCCCTGGTAAAGAGGCACACTGACTGTGTGAGCTCTTTGAGGACTGAGGCAGGGAGGATGCTCTTCCCCTCCCCCCCCCCACGCACTGCCCCTTCTGGAACCTGCCAGGCACCTCTGGGTTCTGACTGTGAAGTTTAATATCCACTTGATTCCTCTGGGAGCTCCACGTGGAGGGACAGGGTCTTAGGCTGTCTCCAGAGGAAGGGCCATGACACTGTGTTGTAGATTTTGACCGGGAGTGGATGCCAGGGACCCAGCAGAGACATCAGATGTAGTAGGTTCCGTAGGGACAGGCAGAGAAGTCCTCCAGGGGCTTACGTGCTTTTTGCCAACTTTCCTATTAGCAGCTTCAGTTTTATATCACCCAGAGTGAGTGTGATAATTTGAAGTCGCTGAAGTTATGGGTTATTTTACGTTTTGATGTGGGACTTTTTTTTCTTTTTTTTGATTGGAAGGAGGAGGCTGAAATTGGAGAAAAGGGATCACCCTAGGAAGGGGCTGCTGGCAAGGAGTCCAGTTGGCCCCATCCGAGCCCTGGGGGCTCTCTGACCTGAGACCAGGACCCTGGGCCCTGGGGGTCGCAAGAAAAAGTTCCCTCCTAAATTCTATTAGGATTTTGGAGAATTTTTGCACAGTAATAAGCTCTGGGTTGCTCTTTGGGCTTCTCAAAAGGGAAAAGTTAACTCAAAGATTGTAAACTATTAAGTATTCCAGTGTGTCGCTGACCTAGTTGGATAGTTGTACCTCAAAAAGTAGGTGAGAAAAGGCTTCCTTGTCCCAGGTTGTCAAATACTAATGACAGAAGAGCTCACTTACGTGCCAAAATTCACTTTTATACTAGTTTTTCAGTGCTTTAATATTTGTAACTTAAATTTTAAAACTCATATTTACAAACACTACTGTAACTTCAGTGAAACTGAATTGTGTGATTGAAGCTTTTTGCTTATTATAGTATTTATTACACTACTTAATTCAGTAAATATATAAAAGTAGCCTTCAATTTATTTTTATATTATTTTACACGTTTTTACCTGCAGTCGTGTATGTGAATTTACCTTGGTAACTGAGATGTCATGCTAAGGACCAATAAACTCTCACTGAACAAGCAGGACCTGGTGCAGTTGCCTGTTCCTGTGGACTCTGCCCCAAGGGCGGGGCGGGACTTGGGAAGGCTCGCCCCCTGGGACTAGGGCCCTTCCTTGGGCCTCCGGGGGAAGCTCTTTGCTGGGCAGCTGGGGAGAGGTCCTTGGGGTGCACATCCCCATCCCCAGACCCCAGAGGGCCCACAGAGAGTAAAGTTCACGAGGAGACCACCCTGTGTGGGGATGGGCACTCTCAGGACTCCCAGAACCCGAAGAGGGGCTTGAGGAAGCTGGCTGTGGCCATGGGGGTCCCCCAGGGCCCCAGAGAAAAGCCAGCCTGTCCCCACCCCTACCCTCATGGGGCCCTGGGAGAAGCTGCATCCACTGCTGCCCTTGTGTGCGTCCTGGTTGGCGGGGCACTGGTGTCTGTTCAACAGGGTGCTTGACAAGCTGGTCGGCCCGTGTAACTCCAGCCAAAGCTCCGTGAGGGGGCCATTGCTCCCACTTTACAAATGGGAATGACCGAAAACGAAAGGGGTGGGGCTGGCCCGGGGGTCAGAGCCACTGCCCTGGCGTAAGATCCCTCCAAGACGCCCCTCTGGCGCTGCCCTACCCAGGGAGCCTGGGGCCACTGGCTCCCAGGGAGAGGCCGCCCTAAGGCCCGCAGCTCTAGCGGAGTGGTCACCAGCACCCCTCTCTGCGTGCGGTGGGGGGCCTGGCTGGGGCCGTGGGCGATGTGGGGCAAGAGCTGATTGCCAAGGAGGTGCCACGCTTTCACAGAGACCCTGCTTTCTGTCCCGTTCTCAAGGCAGAGGCCTCCGGACAAGGGAAGTGCCCTGCTGGGAAGATGGAGAGCTGGCCCAACGGAGGAGGCAGCCTCCCTCAGGTGGTAGGGAAGGTGGTCTTGGGTTTGGAGGTTCTGTGTGCTCAATGAGTCATATACAAACCAAGGCAAAACTGCATGTGAGGGGCCCAGAGAATTGGGAGAGAGGGGGTGGCAGAAGCATCCCCTTCCTCACAACCCCTTTCCCCAGAGTCTCATGCCTCCCAGTCCTGCAGGGCCAGATTTGAACCTTGAGGGAGCTCCTGTGCTTTGAACTCCTGGGAAGCCACCAGGGCTTAGGGATTGCCCTCACAATTGTCAGGGAGATGGGGTTGACACTCTATGTGGAAGGGCTCCTGGAGGAAATGATCATTGAGGGCCAGGAGAACCGAGGCCAGGAAGCCTGGGGCTGGGGAGGAGGCCTGTCCCCACCTGGAGACCACAGTAGGGCCACTGGACTACTGAAAGCTGAGGGCATGCTTGACAGACTAGGAGCCTCAGAATCAGGGAATCCTGGCTGATCGATGGGAAGTGACTTGGAACAGAGGGTCTCCAGTAGAGCTGCTGAGTATCACAGAGCTCTCTCAGGAGCATGGAGAAGTAAGCATGTGTTCATTTCTATCATACAATCTAGGAAACAGTCATGCCCAGAGGAAACATGACAATATGCCCCCCCTGCCAGCCCATGATAGAAAGGGAATGGCTTGGTTGCTGTAAGAAGAGTCTAGGGTGGTACCAGCTCCAGTGTCATCAGAGCCCTCTCCCCATACTTGGTGGCCTCCCTCTCCCCTGGCAGTGAGGTTCCTTTATGCTGCCAACAGCCCCAACACCCCAAAGGGAAGACCCAGCCTACTTCTCCAAAGGCAGCACCAAAGTCTGAGGTCACATTGCCATCCCCAAACCAGTCACAGTGGTCAGGAATATTCTGACTGGCCTGGCCAAGGGTCATCGTGCATTTCCAAGGGCCCCCCAAAATCAGGTCCACTGGCGAATCTCAGTACCCCAAAAAAGGGCTTGCTCCCCTAGACCAGCATGGCAGACCATTTCTGAGCTTTTCTGTTAAAATCAGATATATACTTGATTTTTCTTTTAATTTTGCTTTCTGCTAGTCTCTTCTAGTATAAGTGATAGTGAACACAAAGTTGTTCTGTTGTGGTGGTAGTGATTTTTAACCAAGGGGGGGAAATGTTTTAATCGAAAACATTCCGTGCAGTAGGACCATTTCCCCCTGCAGACTGAGAAAAGACCACAATTATTTGGCTCTCTAGTGCCTCAGCATGCTCAGGGACACCAGTGTTCAATGGGAGGCTGTTTTGAGAATAATTTTTTTCCCCTAAATAAGAAAAATCATATAGACTGTAATGTGGGGGTGGACCGCTGCTCCACATTGCTGGGGATGAGAAGAGGACTAAATGGAGAGTGATTTTGAAGGAACAATTGACAAGTCAAAATGACTAATTAGACAAGAGCGAGGGGGTGACCTTCAGGTAGAAGTGGAAAAAACCAAGTGGAAAAAAACCCAATGTTGTGAAAGAATTCCAAAAACATTCTTGTTTCATTATCCAAAAATTTGGAGAAAAATAAATTTATCCACAAATTATTCCTGTTTTTCCCAGGCTCCTGCATTGCTAAAGTGACCAGCCAAAATAATTTGGTTTAAAAAAAAAATTGTATCAGGATCAATACATTTTATGTTAAACCAATAAATGACTGTAAATCTGCTTTTAAAAACTAATCAAATAAAATGTGAATATATGTCCATTTTATCCTACAATTACTACTGCTTTTACTGTACCCATAGAGAAGTTTTTTTTTTTTTCCTCACACAGCTTCAAATTTTTAAGAAACTACATATTTACTTAGAAGTTTCATGCCTGGATGAATGTACAAATAATAGCAAAATAAGGACAACAGGAAGAGGAAAGATGATTTGATAACCAAAAGTTCATGGAATTTTCTAGCTAAAAAGACTCCACTTCAACCTCTAGGCTGTGACTGTGAGTTGATGGGGGCAGCGGGTGGCAAAAAGAGATGTCCTCCTAAGGGGAGCAGGTCCTTGTTGGCCGTCCACGGGGCTTTCTCCCCTCCTAGGAGCCTGGATCTTTCAGTGTGGATATACAGCAACTGGGAGAGGGGCACCATAAGGCCTCACCCCCCCATCTATGGGGCTTGGAAATGTCCCCCAGGAGAGGAGGGTCAGTGAAGGCCATGTTCCCTCCCCCAGCCCACCAGCAGCACCAGAGGGATAACGTGGGAACAGCATCTCTCCTCCCGGGATGGTGAGGGCCTCTGAGGGGCTGCAAAGCCTGCTCAAGGCAGCAGAAACTCCAAGAGGCTTATAAAACCCCAGCCGACTTGAGGGAAGCCTGATGGCTGCAAGATGTGGGAAGCCATGCTTGCCAAAGGTCCAAGGAAGGGGAAGGCGGAGGGATGGGGCCTACCTGAAGTAGAAATAAAAGGATTTGGTGCCCCAACTGAGGAGTTTGGGGTGAGAGGGAGGGAACCTAGGGAATCAGGGGTCTCTGGCTGGGCCCCCATTAGGTGCAGCTGGAAAACCATAGTGGCAGTGGAGGATAGAGGGCTTCACTGGCTTCAAAGCCTCTGGGAACCATATGTGGAGACATCAGTTGTGCTTTCCAC